CCCCAAAACCCCAAAACCCCAAAACCCCTCACATAAATATTAAGGATATAATTGATTTTAGTGAAAATTTGAAAATATTAATTCAAAAGTTTTAAAAATGAGAAATTTTCTTAATAAGGAGAAACTTTCTTCAACACTTACAGGGGCTCTTAACAAAGCCAGGACTTCTATTGCGAATGTATCAAATAAGCAAAGACAATCTGATATAAATAGCTCAAGCTTTGCTTATGAGGATGAGTTTATAATTGAAGATGATACTGTAATGTAGAGTAACACAAACTTTCAGACTAATGATTCTGATAGCCTCCCATCATATCTCCCATAAAATGTAAAAATATGTGATATGACAAGTTATAGAATGTCTTTGATGAGAATTCATTTGATTTTAAATTGGTTGGAGGGCCACTACATAGTGAAGTACTAATAGCTAGTGCTACCATGAAGAAAGGTGAGAATCAAGGGCTACCGATTCCATTACATTGCACTTGGTACAATGTATCACCTGACAGCAATTAGTTCAAAGAAATTGAGCATGTAACAGGAGCTTGCTACCAGCCAAGCATAGAAGATGTGGGTGAGAGGTAATTATTTTCATGGTAATTAAATAAGCTATTAGGATATGCGTCCATGCTATTCCAGCAAGTGATGCTGAGGAATATTAAGGCATGCCTATGTTTGCAGAAGTAGGCCCAATTATTTTAGATTAAAAAATAGAACAAAAAGCTCAACGCTTAATAGAAATCAATGATTTTGAGTTTAATGTCTCAATAGACAAGCTTAAAGATTTAAAGGTATTATAATACAGTGTTGAAAAAGAAAATCAAGTGAATGTAAAATTACCATTAAAGAGCAAACTTGTTATTAAAGAGGAAAAATTGATATTTTAGAATCTAAATTATACTGATCAGGTTATATTGGAATTGGAAATAAATGAAAGCTTAAGCATATTGATCGTGAAGCATGTAAATAATAAGATAGAGGTGCAACTAGATGCATCATACTTTGGATTCATGACTTTTGGAAATAATATTGATAGAGATGTTTTTATGTATTGCTATCGATAGCTGAGGCCTTAAATTTTAGAAAATCTAGTTAAGAAGGGAGAATTATAAGCATAGAAATTAATTCAGTAGCAATTATTACAAGAATAACTTTAGTAGATGAAAGATAATTGTCATGATATTTAGCATGCAGAGGAAAATCCTCTGGACCAGAAAAGTTCTAATTCTAGGAAATCTGAAAATGATATAGATTTTTAGGATAATTAATCCTAGGTTCAAGATAATATGAAAGATGTAGATATTAATTTTGATATGAATCATATTTCTTCTTAAGCTGATGAAACTTAGACTTTCAACTTTTTTGATTTCTAAAGTAACCAAAATTAGACTGCTAATAGCAATATTAGTCATAATTCTTTTGATAAAGAGAAATATTCTAAGATTGAGTAAGAGTTAGAGTTGAAGAATATTTAGATTTCAGATTTAAATGAAAACATTTCAGAACTTACCAACAAAAATCAAGATCTACAATAGCAAGTTGTAACATTTAGACAAAACTATGCCAAGAAGATAGACTAGATGAAACAACTAGAAGAGAGTATGAGTAAGTTAAAGTAAGATGTAAGCTTCTTCAAGCAAGAGGCGTCATTATATGAAAGAGAAAATAAAAAGATAACGAAATAACTTGGCTAGCTCTAAGCTCAGAAGGATTTACATGATCTCAATCTTTAGAAAACAATAGCAGCTTATTATGGAAATGATATAAGCACAGAAAGAAGTTAAATAGACATGGCACTGTAAACTGATCTTGGAATAGAGGAACTAGAATCTCTATAAAAGCAACTTTAAGATATGACTGTAGATAGAGACAAGATGATAGGTGAATGCAATTATATGAAAAAGAAGCTGCAAACACTTCAATCAGATAATGAGAAATTGTAAAAGTAAATCACCAAGCAAGAAAACTAGTAGAATCAGTCTCAAATATTATTAGAGAGGCAGTCTCAAAGTCTTTTCATGTGTGGAGGGTGTTCAGCAGAAGTATTGGATACTTCCAATAGCTCATCATCGACTGGAAGAAATTATAACAGCGTCCATTAATCTTTTAGTAGAGATGCTAAGGACTTCCCTAGAAAGTCACATACAATCGTCTAAAACACTCATAGTCTATATAATTCTACTTACAGGTAAAAGCCTTCACTCAAGGATATCATTACTCCAAAAGTAAATCAAATTAGCAGCCACTAGCACTAAGCACCAGAATAGGTCTTTAACTATCCATCTATACTTTAGAACTCAGACGAGAAACTTAGACATAATGAGAATCTTAACACTATAAACATGAACTAGGATCTTAATATGTTCCAAGCAAATGAGGAATTAGTTGATGAGTTTGTTAACTCCCTCCATCAGACTATGATAAGTACTTCCAGAGATTAATCATTCCCAGAAGAGCGATTAAGTGCTCTTATCGAGGAAAATGCTTAAATGAAGATAGATTTGGAGAGATCTCTTGAGAAAATGAAATAGTAAGACTACTTGATAGAGGAGTATAAGAGATGTGTAGATGACGAAATCAAAAAGAGCAACTAATACAGAGCACTTATAGCTTAAAAAGGCTCTACAAGTATCGGATCAATCCTAAGTGGGAATAAGTAAGTAGAGCAAGTGTAGAAGCTCGTGAATCATTTGACCTTAGTCATAGGGGAAAAGGACGAGGAGATTAGTGTGACTAAGAACATAAACAGAGAACTGGCAAGAAAGCTAAAGGAATTGACCATAAAATGATGAGAAGTCAACAATATACTGATATCTTCTTAATTTCATTCATTAATTTATCATATGAGCACAATTGTATCTAAAATGCTTAAAGAATTATAGGAATTAAAATCAAATGTACCTTGTGGTGAGTATGCGCCTAAATTGCTCTTGACTGAAAAACCCTTCAAATAGAATTAGAGAAAGAAAAATATTAAACATGATAGACCACTCCTTAGGGATCTATAGAATTAACTTGCATCAATGATATATATTACCGAGGGTGCAGCCCTGATTCTTCTCCAGTATGTTTTCTCTTCATCTGCAATTTTGATACTTTCCACAAGTTCATCTTGCTTGAAGAACTCATCATTCTTTAGAAAGTCTTAAACTTTCTCAGCAGTGGGACCAGGCAAAGTTTCCCAAGTGTTAATAGGGTACAGTGGAGTTTAGACAGTTCTTCCAGATAGATGAACCTTTCTTACTCCATTATACATAATCATTTGCCTTCTCAATAAAGGCGTGCCTCTTGTTATAATATTCATGTTAGAAAGATGAAAGAATAATAATTATAATTGCACTGATAATTATTAAAAATTTAATTTTAAGATGTCTCGCAAATTACAAAGTGAAACTCAAATCAAATCTGATACTCAAGCTGTACTACCGATTTTGCATAAGAAATAGCCATCAATAGATTGCCTTAATCAGTATAAGGACGCGCAATTAAATCTAATCAGATCTCAGAGTTTAAATAATCATAAACAGAAAAATGAAGACTATTCACCTATAGCACTATATAAATCTAAGCATGGGGACAATGAATAGGGTGGAAGACTGAAAACCAGAAGTTTTGAAATGTGGAAAGTGGATGATCACATTAGACGCAAGCACACGATATCTGAATAGCTGCATGAACTCAAAGAATCTCCTGCCTTGAAGGGTTGCAATTACCAAAGTGTACTCACTTTGGTAGGTGTGATAATATTCTTCGTAAGCTCATTCATAAAGTCACACTAACACTACTATAGGTTTTCTTGTCATTTATGTTCATTAAATACTTCGACGTGATAGTTGATAAACTAGAGCCATTTTTCATATGGTTTGAGAAGAATTTCGTCCAGGGAATGTTTATTTATATAGGTTTGTTCATGATGTTCGTTTTCCTGGCTATTCCCACTTCTTTTCTCATTTTAGCAGGGTCACTTACTTTCGGCAGATCATTAGGCCCAACTAATGGATTTTTCTTGACATTCTTTCTTGTGGTTCTTTCGACTACTCTTGGTGGAATTATGGGATTCATATTTGGAAGAATATTTCTCAGAGCGTTTATTAGGCGAAATCTGACTAGAAAAATAAAGCTATTCAGAGCTATTGATTTGGGACTTAAACATAATGGTTTAAAAATGGTCATCTTAATGAGAGTAACCCCAATTGTACCGAATAATTGCTTCCATTACGTCTTATCAGTCACATCTCTCAGAATAAAGGACTACATTCTTGGTAATGCCATTGGCATGAGTCCTTTTTGCGCTCTCTATATTTACATTGGAGTGCAGTTAAATAATATGTAAGATATCAAGGAAGGCAACATAGGATTAGGTCCTTGGTAGCCAGTTATAATTACTCTAGGAGTGGTTATGATAGTGATTTTGACAAATCTGATGGTTACTTACACCTAGGGAGAATTACAAAAATTAATGGATTAAGATTAAGAAAATTCAGAGATGTCCAGACTAAACAGTCATAGGCCCTCGTAAATTCCACTAATCAATAGAGAATCTCAACCTCAAAGATACACTGAAACACATTGGTGAAGTACATAAATTGGAGTATTAATGCGTTTTCAGACTGACTATATATTTTAAGATTTGAATGTAGATATAGATTGACTTTAAACTTATTCATAGATACTATTATCATTATACTTTCAACAGTGCAGTTCAAATCTCTTATATCAATATCATGGGGTTTTGGGGTTTTGGGGAGATCGGAAGAGCGTCGTGTA